GAGAGAGAGAGAGAGAGAGAGAGAGAGAGAGAGAGAGAGAGAGAGAGGGAGAGAGAGAGAGGAGAAGATGAGAGAAAGAGCCAGACAGAGAGACAGAGACGGGGAAACAGAAAGACAGAGAAGACATTGAACTAAGTATCATCCCTCATACAAAAATTAACATAAATAAAGTCATACGAATAAGAGCAAATCTCAAAAAGCAAAGCCACATAGAAGGGCCAGGTAAATAGTCTTCAGACTTGACAGCTGACACCACAGTGCATGGGAAGGAAAATGAATACAAAAGGCAAAGAAAAGACAGACATTACATGGTAGCTAATGGGCTAGCAAGAAAGAACTGGGTGGTCAAGGAGTGCCTCTGTATTCTAGGTGTTCAATACTGCACTAATCTAGACCTGTGATAAATTGTACCACACCACACAGAAAAAAAGTACCCATGAAACAGAAATGTAAAGACACTCTAGATTCCAACAGAGTCCATCTATGACTCCAGCCATTGTTATTAGCAAAATTAATACCTATACCTTAATTGTACATTACTTTGGAAGTCATTGTGAATCTATACTTATTTTATTATTTCAAAATTCAGTAAGTAAAATATAAAGGTTTACATTATGAAAAGGGGAGGCTGGGGAGATGGCTCAAAAGTTAAGGGTGCTTACTGCTTCTGTGGAGAAACCAGGTTCAAATCAATATCAGGCAACTTACAGATGCCTGGAACATCACCTCCAGAGGATCTCATTCCCTCTTGTGGCCTCCACAGGAAACTACATGGAATTCACTCAAATAAATGCACATATATACTCATAAATAAAATAAATAAAATACTGAGTTGTTAAATTAGAGCTAAAATTAGAATCCTCAACACTTAAAAGAAATGTTCAATATAACCAAAGAAATGTAAATCAGAAGGACTCTGAGATTCCATTTTACACCCATCAGAATGGCTAAGATTAAAGTCTCAAATGACAGCCATGCTGGCAAGGATATGGAGCAATGGGAACATTCCTCCATTTCTGGTGGGAGTGCAAATTGTACAACCACTTTAGAAAGCAATTTGGTGGTTTCTCAGAAAATAGGGAATGTATCTACTTTAAAAACCAGCTATACAACTCCTGAGAATATACCCAAAAGATGCCCCTCTATACCACAGGGTCAATTGCTCAACTATGTTCTTAGTAGCTTTGTTTGTAATAGCCAGAAACTGGAAACAATCTAGATGTCCTTCTACTGAATAATGGATAGGGAAAATGATGCATCTACCCAATTCACCTCTTAAAAAAAAAAGATGTGAAATTCAGGCACATCAATGGAGCTAGTGAATATCATCTTGAAGTAACCCAGAACCAAAAAGATACATGCTACATATTCACTTATAAGAAGACATTAGCCATAAAGTACAGGATAACCATGCTACAATCCATAGAACTAAAGAACCTAAGTAATATGCATGGCCCAAAGAGGGAAGCATGAATTTCACTCAGAAGGGGAAATGAAATAGACATGGGAAGTGGATGAAGAGAGGGAATTAAAGGAGAAGAGGAAGGTTGCAATTGGAATGGACTAGTCAATAAATAAATTAATTAATGAGGAAACAATGTAACTTACCCACCGGTTTGTGAAGGCAGAGAAGCATTCCTTCACAAGCACATTCTTAATCATCTCTGGGTCTGTGATGGCAAACAGAGGCACTTGACCATCAAACAACCTGTGTGGGGAAGACAGCTGATGAACCAGGTTCTGAAGTAAGAGCCGCATCCAGACTTTGATCCTAATGCTGCAGGACTCTCACACCACTTGTATAATACATGGTCACAGAAGTTCCCAGTTCTGCTTAAGGATTGTATAGTACACAATCCCTAATCTGACCAAGGACACAATGGAGTCTTTATAAAATGATAGGTAATGTCATTCAAGACGCAATGAGTTGTTAAAAAGGAAAACAGGTCTGAAAGGCACCACAATTAGAAACAACAAGTAGAAATTTGCTAAGTCTAGAACTGTATATGAGAATTGCCTATACCATTTTCTATGATTTTGCATATTTGAAATATTTCAAGAGGCTGGAGAGATGGCTCCACAGTTAAGAGCACATATTGCTCTTGCAAACAACCCAAGTTTGGTTCCTAATACATTGGTTGGCTCACAACCACCTGTAACACCATTGTCAGGGATATCCAATTTCTCTTGTCTCCATGATCATCTGCAATCATGTGCAGACACTCACCTACATGTACATATACGTACTTAAAAGTAATAAAATAGATGATTAAAAATAAAATATTAAAATAAAATTAATAATTAAATATCTTAAAGAAAATATTAATATAAATATTTTAAAGTAAAAATAAATCCTTGAAATAATAAATATTTAAATTTAAAAAATTCTACCCAGGTAGTAGTGGCAGACACCTGCTAATCCTTCCACTCAGGAGTAAGAGGCAGACAGATCTCTGTGAGTCTAAGGCCATCGTGGTCTACAAAGTGAGTCCAGGGCTACCAGGGCTGCACACAGAAATCCTAACTTGAAAATGAAACAACATTTTGAATCTCAAGAATAATAGAATATGTCAACATCTGCTGATGGGATGCAGCTCAGTCTAAGGATGTCTGCCTAGAGTGCAGACCCTGGTTTTGATATATTGAGATAAAAACACAGAATTTAACTGAGCACCTGTAACTTTTTCTGCAAGGCTCAGGTAGTACGGAAGACAGAGCAGGAAGAGCATGAGAGACAGGAAGCAAAGGGGAGAGCTGCACAGGCTGTCTTCAGTACTCTTGAAATCACTGCAGCTGGGATAACCTCCACATACCCAGAACATCTCAACATTCTTGCAGAAGGTTTAAGGTCCTGACCCTGCCTGAAGATTTGCACACAGCTAGTTCCTGGAAAGGGAGAGCAAAATGGCCCAAAGGTAAAGGCACCGGATGATGTCAGTTCAGTCACTGGGAACTATGTGGTGGAAAGAGAGAACTGACTGGCACAAGCTGTCATTTGACCTTTAGAAGTACTCCACAGAACCCAAACCCCTCTCCAATAAAAAAGAATAAGTGTAATAAAGAAGTGAAAAGCAAGAATCACTGGGGGAGGTCAAGATACCTTCTTCAGCGGTGGGTTACTAGTAAGTTGCTCATGATTCTGTAAAGAACCTCTCACTCACCCACACTTCAGTAAATCCAATTAAAGTCATTGATATACACACAGACACACAAAGCTGATGAGATAATGGAAGCAAAATGTTTGATATAAAAATGATGTGAGGGCCATGATGGTACATGTCTTTAATCTCGGCACTTGAAAGGCAGAATCAGGTATATCTCTCAGTTCAAGGCAAGCCTGCTCTACATAGTCAGTTCCAGGTCAGCCAGGGCTACAAAAAGAGGTTCTGTTAAGTAAATAAATAAATGGACAATTACATTCAAGATTGGTCTTTTTCTCTGTGTTGTAATGTTAAGTGCAGGCACCCAAGACCTGGTTGCCCCAGAGATGAGACCACATACAGACCCTAGTGACACTTTGTAACCTTGCCCCCCTTCAAGTTATTTCTGATTGGTAATTAAAGATGCTTAAACCCTATAGATGGGAAGAAATGAGATTGGTAATGCTTGCTATTTCTGACCTAGGGGTGAAGGAGGGGTAACAGGAATACAGGGAGAAGCAGCTGAAGGAGAAAGAGAAGGATGCCATGGGTTAGGATAAAAAAAAAACATGGCTCTGAGGGCTGGCCAATTGGAGTTAAGAGCAGCCCAAATGGGAAAAGTAAGTAATAACTCTGGGTTATCAATAGGAAAGTAGATTCTAATTGCATAGAGGGCAGATACCTGCCCGGCTTGTGTGCTGTGTAAGGCTTATTGTAAATAATAAAAGTTGTATGTCTTTTATCCAGGAAATGAATGATCAAAGATTGGGTAGAAGCCCAATATTGGGATTAAAATTTGTACAACACAAATGAATATATCAGGCATTAGGTCAGTGAAAAAACACTATCAAGTTCTGACAAGCAATAATATTGTAGGAGAAGTTTATCTGGGCCACTAAACAGACAGCAGAGCCTGCCATTGGGTGTTGAATGACATAGGCTCATGGCCTAGGTGAACTCAACAGATGCTGTGCTCAGGGCTGTAGTTTCTAGGAATGGATAAAAAGAGATGAAGAGGCAGGAAGAGCCTAAGCCTCCTCCCACCTTTGTGTCTCAGATGTCAGCATAAAGATGACACCTACACCAAGGCTGTACCCAAACCCCCAGCATCAATGACAGGGAACAGTTGATCCTGCTGGCTCAGCCACCTTACAGAAAGAACATAAATCCAAGGAAGAACATTGTGGTTTTTAAACACATTGAATTAGCTCTCCAATTAATTAGACAGGACACAATCATATACACTTTTATCAAAAATCTTGGCAGGGTCTGAGGAGATGGTGCGTCAGACAAAGGCACCTGTACCAAGCCTGATGACCTGAATTCAATGCCCTGGAAGTAAAGAACTAGCTTCCACAAGTTATCCTCTCAACTACACATACACACCAGGGCACATGTCCCCCTGCCAGGGAAAATAAAGTGAAATAAAATGAAATAACTTGCTTTGAAATAAAATATAAACAACAATGAAGTCTGTATTTGCAGAAAGGAAAAGGGTTTTTTTTTTTTTAATGCTAAGCTATGTCATCCCATTACCTACGGTCAAATGACATAGTAATTCAACAATGAAGTAAAGGAATGTGGGCTTTTAAAAAGGAAAGCAGTGGTTGTGGCACAGAAATGGAACAAGTCATTTGCCAGAGCAGCTCAGAGGGACCTGAAGCAATGCATCGCATGTCAGGGAGCTGATGTTTCGGAGGAGAAAACAAATGAGAAGAGGACACTGGATAAACCACAAGGTCTGGGGAGATACCCAGGGGCCCCACATTCTCAGAGAATGAGGGAGGGCTAGATTGTGTAAGAGGCATGATGAAGGGCAGTGATGGAGATGTAAAGTGAATGAATGAATGAATGAATGAATAAATCAATAAATAAATAAATAAATAAATAAATAAGGAAAAACCTGTGTCCATGGAACATCAAACCTTGTTAAAAAAAAAAAGTTACAGTGTGTGATGTTTTCATGTAAAACACACATTTGAACCCTGGCACTTAATGTCATGCAGTATCACCTTTATACATGGCTACAATTCAGGCTGGCATTGTCCTTACAAAAGTGGAGTTCCTCCTCCTTAATAGAATCAACTCAATGGAACTTTCCAGAATACTCACCCCCATATTTTTCCATACTTTTTATAGCACTCCAAGTCATAAGCCCTGGAAAGAAAAATAGCATGAAATCTATTATTGTCCTGTGTGTACTGACCCTTCTATAGCCACAACACCAAAACCATCAGATCCCATGAAGTCAGGTTTATTGTCTCTGACACAGAGAAGTTCTTGTTCACAAATGTTTGATGTGTCAAGAGCAAGTTGGTCAGTGGGAAAGGGCAGAATGAGAGAGCAGAACACGTGACTCCTTCCTGTGGCCTCCACATGCTGACTCACAGACATAGACATGTGCACAGACAATATGTACATACCATACATACTAGTAATAATGATGATGATAATAATGATAATAAACAGAATTGTTTTTAAAGAACAAGGTAAACAGATCCTGTAGGAAGAAAATCTTGAGAAGATAGCAGCACAAGCTTTGCCACTCTCCCCCTAGGTGTGAGCATGGGAATGTCTGTCTCAGAGACTGACCATGGGCCAGGTATCAAAGCAAGTTAGTCACAAATGGTCCACCTACACTTAGAACCTACATGGCATATTGTAGTCTCATTACTCAATTTTCTAGTAATTTTGTTAAATCATTCTTTCCCTAGTGGTTTTACTTTTAACAAACTTTAAAAGAAAAAGAAGAAAATAAAAAGTGCATTATGTAGGTAAGTATCTAAGGTGATTGACAACCATCATCCTGTCTCAGATATTTCCACCTGATACTCAGACTCTGGCTAAGATGCTGCCTTTAAAAGAAGAGAAGTGGCAGTAGGTTCTTTTCAGTAGTAAAGCAGTTTGCCTAGCGTGTGTAAGGCTCTCGTTCTCATTATCATCTCTATCCCTCCCCGCTTTCTCTCCTTCTCTCTCCTCCTCCACCTCCTCCTCCCCATCTCTCTCATTCTCTCTATCTCTCTCCCTCTCTCTCTCCTCTCTCTCTCCTCTCTCTCTCTCTCTCTCTCTCACACACACACACACACACACACACACACACACACATACACACATAGAAACCATAAGCTAAAATTTGTCATTAGGCCTGGAGATGTTGCCTCTGCAATTAAGAGCACTGGCTGATCTTGAAAAGAGTTCAAGTTCTGTTTTCAGTACCCATATCCAGTATATCATATCCATCAGTGACTCTAGCTCCTTCTAGTAAGCTCAGATTTGAGAGAATTCATGGCCTTGGCCTTCATTTCGTTAAGGTTAGGCACATTGTTGTATGCCAGCTCAGGGTGTTTGAGCATGTGGATATCTTTCTAGGCTACCATTATGCCTTCCATAAAAAGGATGTCAGACATGGCAATCTGCTTCTTCCTAGGCATCAACATTGAGGTAGCTGCAGGGTTTGAGGCAGGGGCTGAAAAGGAAGAGGCATGCAATGCACAGTGTTGTTCTGGGCTTGAAAAGAAAATGTAATCTATTGTATAGAGTTTGGTATCCTAGAAGTTCAAATCTCATTCAAGATTTTCTTCAAATAACTACAGCAGTGCCTTTCCAGACTCTATACTGAGTAAGAAACAACTCTTCCTTTATTGCTCACAAGGTCAGAGCATCATGTCCTCAACAGCAAGATTGAATAAAATCAGGGAATTTTATCTAAGATAACTTTAAATAAACTGACAGTAGGGTCAGTGAGATGGCTCCAAGTGAAAAGGTGTTTGCCAACAAGCCTGATAACCTGAGTTCTATCTCTACGACTAAGATGGTTGGAAGAGAAAGTTGACACCCACAAACTGTCCTCTGACCTACACATGCATGCTGTGGCATATACACAACCTCACTCAAAAATAAAAATAGTCTGCAGTGAGTGAGATGTTGAATTCGATCTCTAGCAATGCTTCAGTGGGAAAAGCACCCCATAAAAACCGTTGAGTCCTCAGAGTCTGTGTAAATGCCTGGCAGAAGATAAAAGAACCACCTTTTAAGAGTTAGAGACAAGGGATCCCAAAAGAAAGCTGGCTGGCTAAACCATTGAGCCATCATCCCTCCAACTCCTGCTTCTAATATCATTTTTTATTTCCCCAATAATAACAGACTAGAGGTCTGAATATCACCTCAAATCCAAGGACCTGGTTGGAGTTAGGAACTTCAGAGATCACTCACCTATATAGGAGCACCAGGATGGTTGCCAGGAGAACCCAGGTTTCCAGTGACAGAGCTGAAAACAGGTCCATCCCTGCTTGTCTGTCAGCAAATTACTCCTCTGTGTTTTCCCTCCAGCTGTGTGTGACCCTCTGTAGGATTTGCCTTCTACCCATTCTGGTGCACTGAGGACAGCTTGAAGTACATACATGCTGGAAAGATGGGTGGCACCAGGGATCCAGTCAGTAGTTGGATCACCACTGCTTCACCTGGACTTTGGTAATTTCTTCCCCCAGACATTTCATAAAAGTCAACCACACTGTATTTTGACCCCCATTGAGCTAACATTCTGTGTGGCATCAGCAAATAACAGTGTAATATGAGAAAGACCAAAGGTTCTTAATTTCTACCAGAAAACGAAGTAACTTCAGCAAGATGAAATACCCTCTCAACAAGGCTAGCTTCATTCAAAAATACATGAAATGAAGTCAAAAATATGTCATCTGCACATCTTTACAGAATGTCTTTGTCCTTCACCGAAAATTTCTGGAGCTGTCAAGGACCTGTAACTTACATGTGATATCTGTAAACCAAACATGAGTGCTCCAGAAGAGCAGCAAACCTGCTTAACCCCTGAGGTATCTCTCCAGCACAATGAAGAATGTTTGTTTTTGTTTATTTGTGAAAAAAAGAAACACAAGTAGCAGTGATAAGTATCAGTTGGTAGAGCGACAGCCAGCACAGCAGGCACAAAATTATGCCTCCATCTCTTGCACCACAACATTGATAGTACACTTGTGCAGTCCCTGCACTCATAGAGTAGAGGCAGGGGGATCAGAAGTTCAAAGACAAAGACAAATTCTGAAGGAGAGTTTGAGAACAGTCTGGGATATGTGAGACCAGATCTCAAAAAAAAGATTCCTCTACTACATCTATCCACCAAAATTCAACATCTGCCACCTCTTGACAATGGTCACAGTGAGAAAGAGAGAGGCCCTGACACTCACTTCTACCTATTGAGAGAGGAAAGAATTGTACTCAGTTGTGACCCACTGGTGAATGGTGATGCACAGGCTCTAATTGATGGTTTGAAGCCCACGTGGCACACACATAGCACTAGATAAAGTGTTCAGGAAACAAAACACATCATGAATATGGGAAGGACATTAAGGACATTTGCAGGGAAAACTTGAGGTTGATGGGGGTAGGGTAAGAGAAAGGGAAATTTAACCAGAATTAATCTATACATACATAAAGTTTTTACACACACACACACACACACACACACACACACATATATGTCAGTCTGGCTTTCGAGCCCAGAAGATGGAGATCTTTTTCTCTGTGGAATAGATACCTGTGAAATGAGAAATGACTCACCTTAGATAGTATGAGACATTTGATTATTAAGGTATCCAGTTTTGAAAACAGTGTAGACCAAGCCTGGGCAGGGCAATAGCCATGCTTTTCAGTGGTTTTCATACCACAGTCCAGGTAGTCTCCTGTAGCTATGCCCATTATCTTCAGAGACCTTGAGGGGTTAACTGTTAGGCAGTCTGTCTGTCATATGCTTAAATATTAATACATATTAGCAGACTTCTGACAAGACTGAAAGCAGTATCTATTATGCATAATCTGAGTTAGATAGTAAGGCACACTATAATTTAATGACAGTAGCAAAAATCACTACCAAGCCAGGATAGAACAAAAACCTTAATTGTTAAGTAACTTTGACAGGTGGCATTAGCAAAGAAAAACACCTGACTTAGAGTTAGTGTGGACCAGAATGGGAATAAATCAGAGAGCTCACAGTGTTGGTATGAGACCGTGATGACAAAAGTATGTGTGTTCAGGCAAGTTCAGGCCTTTGACAGGAACTGATTGGGCAAGCTCACAGGCCTCTGTCCCAACCTGTGTCAGCTTGGCTCAGGTAGCTGAGCAGCTGACAGTGGCCCGAGGACCTAGCTAGGCAGCGGCAGCTGCAGTGACAGAGGTGGCAGTGGTGGTGGCAGTGGCAGCACTCAGGGAATAGGGAGCAGAAAATGGAGACAGGTGCATGGAGGACTTGTGGAATCACTATAACAGTGTGCATGCCGAGGGAACATGGGGCCAGTACTGTGGTGTGCACTCAGCTCAGACACAAGCAAGTGGGGTGGCGCTGTGGCATGCACACGTGCCCGACCTGCTGCAGGTCATGGTCAAAGCAGACACCATGGGGGACAGCAGTGGCAAGATCAAGGGAGGGTAGTGCATGTAGCAAGCAAGCAGGTCATGACTTCCTCCTAGCAGCCAGAAGCCCCGGCCCAGTAGTGTAGCATTCTGTCTCTCTCCACACTCAATTTAGGTGGTGTGGGAGAACTCCATCACTAAATGCTGAAAGGTATAGTAGAGCAGGCAGGGGCTAAGAGCTGGTGTGGGAGAAGTTGGGAGGAGAGGCAGGGGGAGGGGAGACGGAGAAAGGGAGAGGGAGAGAGAGGAAGAGGGAGAGGCAGAGCGAGGGGGGGGGGAGAGGGGGAGGGGGAGGCGGGGAGAGGGAGAGAGAATGAATTTGGGCGTGGGCAGGGACAGGAGCAGATAGGCAAGAGTGGGAAAGCAGCACAGTGTCTCAGCAAACAGAGTCCCTGGCAGGATGCAAGAGATGGGGCCAGACCCACTATTCACCTTGTCAACCAGGAGCAGAGCAAAAGGTGAGAGAATGAGGGAGGGGGAAGCAAGAAGCCTACACTATGATTCACTAGCAAGACGATTGTTTTAAAATGTCAGTTTAGTTGCCACATAGAGATACTGCTTGCTGGGTACTGTGATTTAGACTGGAATATTCCAGTAATTAGGGACAAGACAGTGAAGACCAAACCACTGGGGGAGAGTAGAGTTATTAATTACCACTACCAGCATCCTGAGGATAAAATTAATAACCAGACAGAACAACAACCAGGCCAGAGCACCAGGTCATCACGTGGTAAAGTTGGAGGCTGAGCTCTGGGCTGGTGCCGTTGAATGATGTTGGGAGAATGGTTCACCTAGACCTATGATTCCACAGCAGCAGGAAAGGAACCACCTCAGAGAAGAGAGGAAAATCTCACCCAAGGGAAAATGTCCTAGAAAGAAGGTCAGTGAAAAGACCAGTCATAAAGACTGAATGACCTGGGGGGGGGGCGCTTAGCAGTTCCTCAAAGTTTGGGCTAGTGAGCAATGGCTTTCCATGTGGTAGCAGGGAGTGTGAAACTGTGGACTTTCTAAATCCAAGTTATTGAACAAAATGCTGTGTTTAATAAAAAATAAGGAGAGAGGGAATATGTTTGGTGGTTGTGTAATCAGGTGTCAGGGAAGGGGGTGCCTCTGTGGGCCCATGCTGATGTGTTCCTTCCCCCTGATGGACCAGCAACACGACAGTATAGTATAGAATAGAGTTTATTCAGGGCATGGTGAGGGGAGTTGAGAGGGTATTAAAGACAGAGAAAGGGAGAGAGAGAGAGAGAGAGAGAGAGAGAGAGAGAGAGAGAGAGAGAGAGAGAGAAATAGAAATGGATTTCAAGGAGATAGCCCTCATTTGGATGTTTGGACAAGGACAAAGAAAATTGAAGTAATTTTCAAGCAGGTAAACATGGAGCCAGAATTAGAGCTGCTGTTTTTAGTGAAGGTGGTGGAGGGGAAGGGGGAGAAGGAGGGAGTAGGGGAAGGAGAGGGGGAGAGGAGAATCTAGATTATGAGAGAGACTAAGCAGCTAGAAGAGGAGATTCGTAGGCATCATACAGAGACATCTTTGCAGTTTGCTGACTTGGAAGAACTTGAAGTTCCTTCCAACGCAAGTTAGTTACAAAGAAGATACAGCAGCTGCAAACAGCTTTTACTTCACTCTCTGTGAAATGCAGAAATCAAAGGCACAACAGACTCAAGGGGAAATCTTTGAATCATCAGAGTGATTCCCTCATCAGAGTGATTCCCTAAGCTGAGAGCACATGAAACCTCAGGACCACCTCCAGAGGTGGAGGTGGAGCCACCAACTGTAACAGTGGGAAAAAGAAAAGTGAAAAAAGTGAGAAAGCCTGGGAAACAGCCTTCATAAGGCTCTTACTTTCCTTACAAGTGACCTTGAAAGAGGCTACCAGGGGGCGCAGTATCCAGATGAGTTGTTTCAAGATTTTGTGGCTAGGTTGCTGCAGATAGCAATCAAACTTATAGGGAATACTGAAGCAGTATTTCATAAGATGGATAAAGTCTAACTATTTTATTCAAATATTTAAATATTTTTAAATATACAATTTATTTTAAAAGAAAAAATTTAACATCTATATAATTAATTTTTAGGCTTTATATCTTGTGTTTATAACAATAATTAATGAATGTTCACACTTATGATATAAACTACTTATATTTTAAATTAATATATAAAAATAAGTAGATTTTTTTTAAAATGAAAAATTTATTGATAAATTATATATATATATATATATATATATATATATACTCCATAAGGACAGGGAATTGTGGAATGAGCCCACAGAGCACTAAAAAAATCAGCTCCACTAAAAATTTTTTGAAAGGTGAAGTTGAATACCCCTTCAGCATAAAAATTTATTTAAAATGTTTTTTCTTTCTTTTTCATTTTAATTCAACATTTTATTTATTTACATTTAAGATGTTATCTCCTTTCCCAATTGCCTCCCCCCAATTAATCGCCTATCTGATCCCTCCTCCTCATTTTTTGCTTTTATACTGTTTAAATTACATGCAAGTATTAAAGTCAATTCTAGGTTGAGGAACTAGCAGTACAATAGATGCAAATAGTCGTGGAACAAGCAAGACAATAAACCTAGATAGTCAAAGAACACGAATGAAAATAGCAGAGTCCTGTGATCACTATTTCTAAGGTCTTATCAGGATGATCAAAATATATGAGCCTACTTCCATGTCCTAGCCCAAAGTCTTTTCATGCCTGAAGCCTACCTCTTTATTCTAGCATAAGATTTAGATTCCCGCCTGTAATTTCTTCTTTATTCTAGCCTAGGATTTAGATTTCTGACTGAAATTATTTCTCTGTTCCAGGCTAATGTCAGATTCCTGCCTAGAGTCCATTTCCTTGTCCTTGGCCAATGTCAGATTCCTACCAGGCAGCCCCAAAAGCTCTCCATATCTCCCCCTTTTTATTGCATAAACTACACTGAGCCTGTCTTAGATCCTTCTGACAAGAATGCCTCCCTTATCAGTTGTGGAAAATGCATTATCAAAAGCAACA